GTGCGGCGGCGCACCGCGGCGGCACGGTCGTGTCAGAGACGAAGGGAAGGCGGTAGCGGTTCGACTAAGGCGCGCAAGGTGGAGAAGGAGTCAAGGTGATGCTAGTGGTGCAGGTGAATTGGCTCGAGAGGGACGACGGGAGAGCTGCCCACACCCGCGGCCGGACACGACCTTATTGGCGCGGCGGCAGGGAAACTCCAAAATTGGAGCTCGATCAGGCGCCATTCAAGGTGGGGTGGGGACGGGTAGCTAGGCAGCTGTGTGATGGAGCCAACAAAGGAACGAATCGACTTGAGGTGATCCCTCCTTGACAAATTTAATGGCGCGGCTCGACGGCGACAGCAGAGAGAGAAAGAGACGGGGCACGGTAGGTGGGCTCTACTCGTCCTCACCTTGGCGGGACGTGGTCGACCGGACCTAAGGCGGCGTCTGTGCACCCGCTACACAACAATGCGGCCAAACCATGTGTGCGCGCGGAGGTAGGTGGGGACGCGGCATGCGCGGCCGCAGTGCCATTAAGGCGAGGCGACGGCGCGGGGCAGCCGGGACAGCCCACGTGCGTGCAAGGACAAGGCGAGCGGTAGCTCAGCAGAGCGTCACAGTGGCGTCGATAGCAGCAACATGAGGCAGGACAACAGTGTGGATGCGACGGCGAGGTGACGGCGTCGGCAGCGGCTCCGTCGTGGCGTGGGGTAGGCGACAGCAGCAGCGGCTCCGCGCGGTGGGGCTAGCGGCAGCCGATCCATAGCTAGGCCAGTGGCAGCCTCGGCCGGCCATGCGCGGCGACGCGCGCACGCGCGACCAACGTGGCGTGGGGAGGCCACGCGGTGACCGCGCAACCGGCGCCAACCAACCCAGGATATGTGATGCGCACGAATTTTAAAGCGCTTAACATGGCCAAACGGTTGCTCCAGGAGCCAAACCAGCTTCACCATGCTCAAGACGGCATATGAGACTACCAAATCGAGCTATAACACTATACCATCCTTTAACCAAATCTCTCACAATAAATTGCTAAACATAGCAATGCCTAGCTATTGACAGACTTAGAAATTTCTAAGTTTTTGAGCTGGATTTGTTTTCAATTTGCGATTTCTAAGCCAGTGGAAATATTAGCTAGTAATATCATTTTTCGACCGCAAGTATTTCACTGTCATCTACAAAGTTTGCACTTTAAACTTTATTTAAGTATCACATACATATTCTATAGCATTTTTGCTTAATAAAAATTGGTTTTAAACCCTACTTGATGACTGTACAAATCGTGGAGCAACTTTCGTTTAGCGTTTTTGTTGATCGTTTTGAGTTACAGAAATTGATCTACACACTTTATCACATGCATTAATATATAAACATGATGCTCATGACATGTTTTAGTAGATAATTTACGGTGTAACACCGAGGGTGTTACATGATGCTAACAAGGGATAGTTTAGTCAATCACAATTGGCAACGAAGTGAAAAGTCTTGATAACAATTAAGCATCTCTTCTTTGAATGTCATTTTGCCGGTGCGGTTTGGAGTTGCATACATGTTGACGCAAGCGGGCATATATAATCTTTTTTTCTCTCGGATACATGAGTGACGATCTAGTCTTACGATAGATAGTCATTAAAGTGTCAAGCTTCTCTTTGTTTTATTAGGCTGTGTGCTTTTATGCAAAAGTTGAAAGTAAGATTATATAATTATTGTATCAATAAAATCCTCCCTTTATAGAAAATCCAATGTACTGGTCACCAACTTTTTTATCGTAGCAACTAATGAAGTATTTAATATGCATGAAGCAATTTTTTTTTTGAAATTCATGATGCAATACATTGAGAATACCATTAGTCGCCTCCGTTAAGGCAAAACAAGGACACAGTAATAGGCAACAACAGAATCAACGGTACAACTGATTTCACTTGATGCTCATCGGTGCCTCGCCATAAAACTTGTCCTTAAAAAAAAATACTGTCCCTGAATAAATTAATTTCTAGTGTTGTAAGTCAAAAATTTTAAGTTCGACCAAACTTATAGAAAAAAATACAAAGATTCATGACACCAAATTAATATCATTAGATACACCGTAAAATATAATTTTCATAACATGCTTATTTGGTTTTATAAATATTTGTGTTATTTTCTCTATAAGTTTGGTTAATAAACATAAAAAGTTTAACTTCAGATAGTTTTAGGAATTGATTTATTAAGAGACGAACATGGAGAACAACTTTATTTAGTCGCCTATGCTAAACCGAAACGAGGACGGTAATAGAGATCAACAGAATCAGCGGTACAGCTGGTTTCATTTGATTATCATCGGTGCTTCGCCGGCCGCCGGTTGCTGGCTACTTAGCTAGCTAGGCTCAATCTTTGTTTACAACAATTTTCCACAGATTGTGCTATTCTTTACTCAAAAAGGTACGGTACCTAGCAAGGTTCGGCTGCTAATGTAGAGGCCTAAACCAATCACTAGCAGATCAGATAGTAGTAGGAGATAATAACCAAGTCAAACGTTAAGAGTTGGATGTCCAGTTGTGCATGGCCTGCATCTCTCCCTGTCCATATATAGGAGTACATATAGCTGGTGCCTGTTGACATGATTCTCCACATCGGTGTGACGATAGTGCCACACTAAACTAACCTGTGCGTGGCCGACCAGATTAGTTGGTAGCCAGCTCGATCTGCCCTTGGAACATACTACATACCCCTTGGTCCTAAACTACAATTTAAAAACATCCTATCCTCTATCGCCTCTGGCCAGTGGGTCCTACCACCACAAGCACAAGGTTTCGAATGGACTCCCGTTGGATTATAGTACTCAGCCTGTTCGCTCTTTTGGTTTCGGTCATGATTTATTAGCCAGTTAATAGTATTTTTCTCTCACAACAAAGCAGCACCAGTTGACCTTATCACCTTAAAACCAACCAGCGAACAGGCCACCTATGTTCAACAGTCTCCTAGGAACATTAAAATTTTCGATCTTCAGTTTCATTCTTCACGAGTATAGTAGCTACCGGAATATTCAGCTATAGCTAGATGGCTAGACACGACCACAATGAACTGCCACAGGCTTGTGTAGCTAAATTAGAGAGAGAGAGAGAGAGAGAGAGAGAGAGAGAGAGCTAGAGCTGAAGGGGTAAGGAAACCTTTGCAATGCAACGGTAGGATTATGAACTGTCGTTGGGATAATGTGTGACAGACAAGTAGAGATGAGCAAAAACAAGAGTCGCTTCACTGTTTTGGCATCTAGCGTTGGTCATGTACGATCTCTTCTCTAAAAGTGACTTAGAGCCACTCGATTGGCCACCAAGAACCATCGTACCCCTGCTCGGCTGTTCGCTGACTGTTCCTAGACAAAAAGGTTCACCAGCAGGTTGCACAGCCAAAATCGATCGACTACTCGATCTTTTGCGTGCCTACTGGTTTTGGTATTTTTTCCCTCTTCGATGTGCCACCCTCCGAAATTCGTCACTTTAGTTATTTCATAAATTAAACTTCATTAACGACCTTAATTAAGTTTATAAACAAATGCAATAATATATATACACTAAATTCTTTGTAGAATATATTTTGATAATGTGATTAACATTGAGGTCTCCTTCGACGTTTCATCAAACTATTATATTTGTTTGTTCTGTCTTCGGCTATGCTAGATTTTTAACCCTCCGCTCCACTGCACCCACTATCTACTCTCTTCCATACACCATGACTAACACATCGTAATGAGTTGTCTCTTCCATAATTTTTTCGTGCCATTTTATTGTCGGCGACTCTCCTTCTTTAACTTGCGCCAATTAATCTTTGAGGCTAACTTATTTTTATAAGACCATAATTTCTAACAGCAACATAATTTGCTGGACTGGATTCATCTTTTGTTTTCAATTTCAGGATTCATCTTGTTGAAGACACAAGAGAAGAGGGCCTATCTCGTTACGGTTAGAGAGAAGGTTAATAAATATTAAACGGAACAAAAAAAACATAGTAGTTTGTGAATAGTCTTGAAAAAAGTCCGATGGCACTAGACTTAAAAAAAACTCAACTCCTAAGGGTAAGACCTTCCTCGAGGCATTGACGGAAAGATAGAAGATTTGGTCATGCCAGGTCGAGAAAAGGCCATAAACTGTAGCTAATTAGGATATGCCACTAATGGTGAGGACGCATCTGCGGCTAACCGTTAGTGGACTACGTATTGCGTTGAAAATTGACCAAGGAGTGACTTTTTTTTTTCACAACAAGGAGTCGAACTCCCAACCTGTAGGTGCGCTTCTTGCATCCTAACACTACACTACGTACACGTTCTCTCGGATTTGACACATTGTTGTCGAAGTCTCAGTTTTTTCGATTTTGCGTCTCTGCGATCAGAATTAGAGGGTGATTCTTCAATCTAGTCGGTGCGAATTTACACTTCTACAAAATTTATGACGATTCGATGATTCTGATAGTGTACAAACACCTGTGATCTGACTATAACCTTAGATCTTGGATGCCTAATTTCTTATTAAGAAATATATGCTTCAAAGAGTCGGTTTTAAAATCGGAGTAGCACACAACCGTTCGCATCAAGGAACGAAGTCTGACACAAGAGAAAGTAGCACTTGAGTACTACTGCCTATACACACACGTATGGCAACAAATTTATTCATACAAACACACATGTACGTATCACGCAGAACGGCAGGCGCAGGGACGCATGCATCGAGCCCCCCCGGATCGCAGATCGGTGGTCCGCCGCACCGGAGGAAGCCATGCCTGCCGCGGAGGGCTGGGACTAACTAGGAGCTGTCGTGGCCGTTCCTGGTGCCGGTGGGCCCCACCTCGCTTCCCTTTGCCTTTCTTCCTTCGTTCCTTCCTCCAGATTATTTAAAGCCATTTCCGTTGCGCTCAGGGCAGGCAGAGCCGGACAGGGGGGCCAGCTAGGGAGCAAAGGCAAAGCAGCCAACACCCAGAGGGACATACACAGAGAGCGCGAAGCTTGCGAATCGAGAGCCAGGAAGAGGAAGAAGAAGAAGAAGAAGATGGAGCAGGAGGAGGCGTGCTCGTATTACTGCTCCTCCTCGCTGCGGCAGTGCAGGATTTGCCATGACGAGGAGGACGAGCGGCGCTCCGCCATGGAGTCGCCCTGCGCCTGCTCCGGCTCCCTCAAGGTACGTGCTTTGTGCTATGCGGCTATGCGCATGCGCATCGATCGACCGATGGGCTCTTGTATGCTGTTTTCTCCAACTTCTGCTCGGTTCTGTGATGTCTCACGGATTCACTTCGCCTGATGGTGGTCACAAGTCATCTGAATGATGTGTTCCTCGCGCCTGCAGTATGCTCACAGGGGATGCGTGCAGAGATGGTGCGACGAGAAGGGCAGCACCATCTGCGAGATTTGCCTTCAGGTTTGTCGCGCGAATTGATCGCCCAATCCTTTCCGATTTCTTTGCCTGTTCACCGTTCCTCACTGTTTTATCCATGGAAGCTTCCCCTGTCCTGAACTTTGTGTTGGACGAAAATTTAATTCGGGTGAAGTTTAAGAAATTCATATGATCATGAATTTGCCTCCGCCTTTCCCCTGAACAAATTCAAATTCTGCATGGATGCATGAGCAATGCTTTCGTAAAGACTATCTTCTGAGCAATTCTCCCTTGTTGATCACAGCATGCAAGTGCTTCTTTTTTTTTGTAGCAAAGTATTGTACCTTTCTCAGAGTCCAAGTAATCAAAGCTACATGCGAGATAGGAAGGTCCCTCTGATGGTAATGGTACTACATGTGTGCAGTTTCGCCTTTTGTTTAACAGCCGTGTTTCTTTTTTTACTGACAGAACTTTGAGCCTGGCTACACCGTTCCTCCCAAGAAAACCCAACCTGCTGATGTCGCGGTGACCATCAGGTGTGCATCTCTCTCTCTCTCTCTCTCTCTCTCTCTCTCTCTCTCTCGTAACTGGGCAATGGTATTGATGCGCGAATTAAGGCTATCGAACAAGGTGAATGTTGTGTTTAATTGTAGGTCAGTTCTAGTTGTCCCATAATAATAAAAAAAAACTGTCATCAGAAGTCAGAACCTCACCAACGAGTGTGTGTCTGCCAATGTCCCTTGCTCAACATCCATTTCGGCCATTTCATTCCTTGTTTCTTTTTTGGTTTGGCATCCTCCTCATCTCATCTTAACCGAGTGGTCAAGTATGAGGGGCTGCCTATCTCGCTAAGTTGCTGACCTGACCAACCTATCTTTATCTTGCATTGATTGATAAAAATGGAATCTGCCAGCGAGACCGGCACTTTAGACGACCAACCACCCGCTCTTGATAGCTCATCGCATTCGCATTCGTATACTACCACCAGCCAAATTCCAAGATGGCTGTCTGTCCATAGCAAGAGAACAAGCATTCTGATCAAACAGTGGTGCTGGTCAGGCACCTTCCATTCTGGCAGCTGTCGCAGCATGTTCTTCAGGATTCCTGAGGCGGGTGGGGGGCTGTGTGGCTGCCACTGTCAGGTGGGTCCGGCCCAGCTGTTCCCGTTAGTTAGCCTTAGCCAAGCCAAACCACCGGTCCCAATCATTGTTTCGCCGCATGAGATGGCAGATAAGATGATGCGGATGCCCTTGCACTGTTGCTGCACATCTGCTGTGGTAGACCAATGCAGGGCAAACCGTGCCCTGCACTCCACCCTGCTGTCCTGCACCGTTTGCACAGGAGTCAAACCGTCCGTTCATCAGTAGTTGCTGCAGCACGACCAATCATGCGTCTGCAATTCTAATTGTAATAATGTGACTGGCGAAGACAAAAACATGGCATCGGGTTCAAAAAGAAGAAAATTTTGTGGAATCTGTATCTGTCGAGCTCGGTTGTTCAGCAACCACCAGTACAGTTACTACCAGCCATTGCCATTGCCAACCACCACGCGCTTTGCTGATCTGTGCTTGCGCGGTGTATGTGCAGAGACAGCGTGGAGGTGCCCAGGCTGCAGTACGAGCCCGAGGAGGAGGAGCAGGTGGACGCGGCGTTGATCGGAGCCAGCGATCCGGAGTACGCGGAGTGCGCCCGCGCCGCCGGCAGGAGCGCGTCCTGGTGCCGCTCCGTGGTCGTCACGGTACGTGCTTGACTGACAGAAAAACACAATCACTTTCCAGTTTCAGTTTCAGTTTCAGACCCTGCATCGTGTCTGAATTCTGAATTGGGCATTCTGCCTGTCCTTGCAGTTCACGATCGTCCTGCTGCTGAGGCACCTGGTCACCGTGGTGACGGTCGGAGCAGCGAACCAGTTCGCCTTCAGCCTCCTCACAGTGAGTAGTCCTACTCCACCTGAATGAATGAATCAATGCTCCTTCGAGGCTTCTGTGTGCGATCGACTGTAACATAACATTTGTTTCTTCCTTGGCTTGGAATGGAAGGTATACTTGCTGCGGGCGAGCGGGATCTTGCTTCCGTTCTACGTTGTCATGGGGCTCATCTCCGTGATCCAGCAGGGACAGAGGCAGTACCGCCTGCAGCTGCTCCAGGTTAGTCAGTCCATCGATGGCTGTTCTGCTGGACGGAAGCAGCAGTTGGCGGAACAGGTGCTAGGTTGCTGAGTGTTTTCGCTTTCTTGCCACTGACGACCAGTATCTGTATGTTGGGTGCTGCAGGAGCAGAGGAGACACGCGTTGAGGTTGGCCCGGCTGCACGGTCAGGAACAGCAGCAGCAGCATGTCATCCTGGTTCGCTGAGGAAGAACGCAAATACAAGACAAGGAAGAAGGCATTCATCTAGTGTTCATATATTCATTCGTCGTGTACAAGGTTGTAAAATGTACCGCTCCATTGTTGAGGGCTTCAGGGTGAACGCCTGAACAGGAAGCACGCAAAGAAAGCATTGTTTACAAGCCACAGGCTTATAGGTACTACCTCATCGTGCCATTTCTGGAAACCTGAATATTTCTTGCTAAAAAGACCAACATATATTTAAATTTGTAAAAAGAAAAAGGGAAAGAGAGCTGGCGCAATGTTGGACTTGGATTACCGATCGCCTCCATCTCCCTCTTTATTCATGAATGCACTGACGTCGTACTACCACCGCAGAACGTATAAATAGGAGCACGATAGTGATCCTGTACAGATCCACCCACTTTATTCCCTTTTAACTTCAGAGTTCAGAATATGATATGACGGAGCCATTGTCTATATATATAGCACTTTAAGCAACCGCGACAGAAAGCGATGCATACAAAACTACATATACATAGTAGCACAAGCGAATGACTGGAGAAATGGTTAACGCAAAACCCATCTGTGTGTATAATAATAATAACTCAGTTAACAACCATAATATGCATTTGGCCTCTTCATAAATAAGTTGCCCACCTCTCAAACAATTTGAGCTATTTAATCTCCTATAAACTAAATAAAAATAGCTATTTTGGTAATCGAATTCTGTAGTTTGGTGTGTGTAGAGAGTGTGTGTGTGAGTGGGTGTGTTTGGGTTCTTATCGCGTATTTTCTTCTTAATAAAATGAAGCGCATGTGCTTTATTGTAAATATATAACTATAGACTCATATTTTTCATTGTTTATGGTGCATGTTCTTTTACTCAACAAATGTGTAATCATAAATCATACAAATATTTTGTTTACATAAAAAAAGGAAATCGTACTTCTTGTTGAATTTTTTTCAAAGAAATAGTAAAATTTTGTCGAAATTTCATGAATTTCGCTAGTTTCGGGGGTGGCCGAAAAAATTCAAATGCCAAAATTTAAAGGGCTCTGTTTGAGCAAACTATCCCCCTAACATATTTCTAGGTATAACAACCAAATGGTCCTGGCGAGAAAATTACTTTAGGTCATCCTAAATTGTGTTTTTCTTTCTTCCCATATGCCTAATTTGATGGGTATTGTATCTTAATTTACAAAATATAATATACTGAATTATTGGTAATCTCTGAATTATTTAGTTAATATTGCTCATCACAAATTGAAATTCATTAAGGCTTTATGCGGTACATGAATAATATTTTGTCGAGTAATATATATAGGCATATACTATTTCAAATAGAATGAGTTATGTGCTACGTATATAAAATTAATTTTTAAGAAATCTGGTAGTACTAATATTATTCAGCCTGTTCGTTTGGCTGTGGCTTGTCGTAAACGATCGTAAATTTCTAGCCGGAACAGTATTTTTCTCTCACACAAACCAGCTAGCAGTATTTCTTCACGAACCGAACTAGCCAACCGAACAGGCTGATTGTTAACGCTGAATATGTTTGATGAATAATAGCGCTGAGAGACTTAACGCGCCATCAGCGTGTCATCAGAACGTGAAACCAGATTATTAGACCGATGAGCATCCAAGGCGCAAAACTGTTGTGAACACATTTTCGACGTACATCTACTGTGAACATTGATCTAAAGCACGCGTACGCTACCAAGTTTTGGAATTAAAACGCCCGTTCGATTCGCTGAAAAAGCAAACCGAAATACTGTTCCGATAAATTTATTGGGAGAGAAAAACACGGTTCTAACTAAAAAAATGAACGGAAAAGTACGGAAACGAACGGGGCCGCGACGTGGCGACGGCAGGCCGGAACGGAGTACGTAGCCGGTAAACACGTGACCTCAGTCATGGAAATGAAATCAAATCCGCCCCACAAGGAATCGTACAAGGAGCAGCTTGACAAGATATAAATGACAAGCAATGAAATGAAGCAAGTAAAGAGAGGCCGGCCCCTGGAACGGAGAAAGTGCCATGAATTTCAGCTGCTGTTCCAGTTCCACTATGAACGCTCGGTGAGTAGTCAGTCGGTTGGGGACATGGAGCTCTACCGCTGAAATTGAAAGGCAAAGGACCAACACCCCAGCAAACAGATGCAAAACGCAAAGAGGACCACCACTATCGAGCTAGTATGGTATGGGGCGAGGATATGGACCTATAGATCTCAGACCACGCAAGCCATGCAGGATCCCGGTCATCTGCGATTCATTCTCGATTCTTCCGGGCGACACGGCAGGAAGTAGAGAAAACATTTGTTCAATGATGCGGAAAATTTCGTCCATTTGGCGTGAAAACCTGTGAAGAGGCTTATCAACACCGCCAGTCTCCGCTGGTGACCAGTCGGCAGCATCCCCTTGCAGTGTATTTCCATTTTCCTTTTGTTATTTTTTAAATAAATTCACTTGTTCTTCCCACAAAATATGTTTTTTCCTCAAAAGGACTACAAATATGTTATATGATGTATTTTTTTATTGTTTCAACAGTACTAATGAGATATTTCACGATGTATTTTGGATGATACATTTCTCTACAGGACTACAATTGTTCTATGGTGTGTTTTTTATTGTTTCAGTAGTACTCATGAGATTTGTTCTCGCATATCATGCATGGCTTTGCATGGTGTATTTTGAATTGTTCCATTTGTCGGATTATTTAGCTCCGGTAATACCTAGCAACGTGATCGCGTAGATTGATCCAGATGGTTGCATATGAGACACAGAGATTTATAATGGTTCGAGCCCCGGGAAGCGAGAAAAGCCGTACGTCCAGTTGCTACTTCTTCTTGTATTCGTATGCTTGGTTACATGGGCTATTGCTCCTAGATACGAGGTGGATTGGAATGAGGCGATGGTGTCGTGGTGGACGTGATGATGGACAGAGGGGTAGGGTTACAGCGAGAGTGATCGGTGCTACAGATTGGATACCGAGTTTGTTACAACAAATCAATTCTATCATACCATAGCCGTGATGGCAGCAAATATCCTTGATACATCGTGATCTCCAAGTTGGTAGTTGCGTCTAGTCCTTGCGGACTTCCTCCTTGGTAATCCTCCGTTGATGGGCCAGATATATGGTCGGTGAGGGTACCCCGGGCCCATATCTCTGACAGTAGCCCCCGCAGGATTTAATGATGGGCTCGTAGAGCTATACTATCCTTTGGGTGCTGTGAGTCCCTGTAACGCTCGGGTACCGTAGGTCCCGATGAACACTTCTTGGGTATCGAGACGCTTGAATATAATCAGAAGGTCCCAAGTACTAGGACGACTGTGCTGGTTGCACTGACTGTCAGTAATGCCTTCTCGAGTTTCGGGATTCCTTCAGGTGGAAGTCTTCCACCCGTTTGAACGCATTGCATGCGCGTCATTGAATCCTGTAAAAGATAAGGATAGTGGTGCCTGGGAACTCGAATAATTCCGTTTCCCATGCTTTTACTTTGTGGAACCCTCTCGATGTTTGAGTGCGTTTTTAATGCCAACCACCCACTCCCCCACTACCATCCTCAGGGCGCTTATTTAAGCAAGGGGTAGGGAGGCCAGTGAGTCTCACCCCTCCTTACTTCCACAAATTTCTTAGCCTTAGATAGGGTGTGAGAGTGGCGATTCTGGTTGTGCGCCATGGTTCATGGCGATTTCCGGTGGTCACGTCGATGTTGGGAGAAGGCTTTCAAGATCGAGCTTCACAGCGGCCTGGCGGCGGCCGTTCTCCTTGGGTGTCAGAGGAAGTTCAGCGAAGATGGGGAGGAACAATACCATTTGTGGCTCGGGTCACCAAAGATGTGGCGGCTAGGCTCATCGGTCATCGGCGCTAGGGACCTCCCCGGGTCAGGGTATCTGTAGGGAATCCTGGAGGGCAAATGGCAGCTTGCTGTTGTCGGGAAACCCTTTACCCCACAGATCTCGACTTGGGTGCTCTCGTGTATCGATTTGGAGGCTTGACGCCACCGAGCCGACGTTGTTTGCTCCTCCCCGATGCCGCAGAAGATGGCACAAGTCGCCCTCCTCATAGGTCTTCTCCTCTTGGATGTTAGAGGAAGCTCCATGAGGCGGGACTCCCGAAAGCATCTTCCAAGCGTCGTCCGAACTCGTGAAGTTTGAAGGAGGGGGTGAGGGTCGCAATGCACCTTCGTCTGTCTTCTACGCTTCATGAGATGTCCATCACTTGAGTGGCGAAGTCAAACCTATACTTAGAAGGTTTATCATAACTATAGCAGTTTTTGATAGATTTTGGCTATTATAAGTGTGATGATGTAAGAGGCAGCAGAGTTTAATCGAAAAAAGAATGACTTTTGTTGATTTTGAACACTACTACCTGTTTCCTGATTAGATGGGGTGGTTTGACGATTTTCGTTCAGTCGAATCCGACCTTTTATTTTTACGGGCCCCCTTCCTGACCCGATGGGTAGTTAGTGTAACTATGGGTTATGCAAGGTGACTCAATTTGAAATTTTTCTCCGACCAACTGCGGTCATTCATGGCTCTGGAAGCTAGCAATCCCGAGAGCTCAAGGATTACTTGGGCGAATAGCGAACACATGTAAGCCTCTGGGGCTGTGGTGTATGCTATTCTGTTGAGTTAATATCGGGTAGAACAAGTGACGTCCGCTTTTCGGAAGCGGCAGGACAAAGCCTGACCAACTGGGGCACATCGTGGAACTCTTTTTCTAGATTTTAGGAGCTCGTACTTTGGTTGTAGCCACTGGCTGACCAGTTTTCTGGTTTCCCCCGGAGGGGCACACATGTGCTAAAATAAGGTACTTGGAGCCTGTCTGAACATTCAAAGGATTTACTTAGCCTCGAGGCCAGAGGTTTTTGGATCGGCTGACGACCCCCCAAACATCCCCCTCACTCTAGAGATGGCAGGGTTCGGCTTTCACAATTCCAAGCCGGAATCACCGACTGCACCTGCCGCTTTGGTGGCCTACACTGGGCTTTGGTGGGTCCCAAATGTTGGTCCACCTGGTTT